TTAGTTTTCTCTGCTATGTATTTGAAAAAGAGAATGGCAATAGAGTATTAGCAATTTTAACTGATACATATTTTATATCCACCAGAACTTTTCTATTGTTTTATTAATTTATTAAACAAAGTATGTTTCATATTTTATGTTAGTTGCCTTTTTATTCCTCCATGTACTATACCTTGTTTAGTCTATGAGATGCATCACAAGCACTTTGCTGACATTGTCTGTTCTGGTTTTCTCTGTTTAAGGAAGAAACTGTAACAAAACACAATGTGTTTATAGAAGAACAAAGTCAATGAAATCAACATTTATTTTTTTATTTACTGGTTTAAGATTCTAGTCAGTTCTGATGCAAGTATTTAGGATTTTTTTATTGTATTTCAAATGTCTAACTTGTGATGTTTTAAGTAAATCACAGAGCTTGTCTTCTAACAGACATTACACGTCTATGTCTGATTTTCAGTATGCTTAAATATTTTAAGGGAACTGTAATTTATTTGTAAACTCTGATGGCAAGGTAATGTGTAATTCTGGTCTCTTTCCAGATTTACAAATATCTGGGAAGATATTAAAAAAAAATAAGCTACTCCCTCTCTAATTACCTGCCTGCTATTGTCGTTTCATGAAGACCAATTTTAAAACAGCCATCCACCCTAACAGTTCACACTTCTGACTGTTTCTACAACAGAGTCAAGTTTTCTCTCAACAACAATCACTCAGGGCAATATCTACGCCCTTTAAAGATTTTCCCTGCTCTCCCACTCCTGCACAAAGTCAGTTCCTGAGCCTCAGCCACTCAACCCTTGACATTCTCGGAAGAAAGCCTATAACACATGGAACCGAAGGAAGAATTGAAGAAAAAAAGCAAAGTACAGACTGAAGAAAAAAGTGCAGTTACATTTTAGTAATCTATTTGCATGGGTCCACATTCCTTATCAACTGACTGGTACCGACATGCTGTGGAGAAGGCCTGGCAAGTAGTTAACTAAGCTGCTGGACTGCTCTCTAGAACTGACATTAGAGTAAGCTGCCATATTAAGAATAAAATAATGTGTGAACATGTGAATTTAACTCCTTATAAGCTTTACCTACCTCTGTCATAATAGTAGCTCTGAAACACCAAATGCTACATGGAAGTCAAAAAGTACTTCTAAGACTTCAAGCTACTTAAGAGCATGTAGTTTACCACTGAGAAGTATCAAAGTTACCATCCACCTAAATCTCTTAACTGGGTAATTTCTCCTCCTAATACTCATATATTCTATATATAAAGCCTGCACACTGGCTGAATCTCATTTATGTAGTTCTCATAACCTTAGAATTAACCTTAACCAGCCTATCAGTAATGAGACGCTTCAGATACGTCAGTGCTAGCACAAATGCAGTTTTCAGAGAAACAAAACCGAGTAATAGCTGCATAGTTTTTATAAACAATTTTTTTTAAATTTTCAAGAAAATCAAAATTTGAAAGTGGAAAATGAAGCTTAATTGGTACACTTTGTTCAGAAAGAGATCTTTTCAAATTGCGTATCTTGATACACAGTGACTAATACAATATGTGAAAACAATGGCCTTCTTAGAGCTGAAATAGTTAGAAACAGTAAGATCCAAAAAATATTGCTGATGTTTGTACATACATTCATCTCAACAGTTCTATATAGCATCTCTTCAGGCTTTAGATATCTCTGTTAATAACAAAAAGTACTGAAAATGAGCTGAACATATGTTGGGACTGTTTTACAGTTTCCTTCGGACCTCACTCACAGCATAAAGGAGTTGAGACTTTCTTTTCATATGGTCTCTATATTCAGAAGGAATATTCTGAGAACAAGTCTCATGAAAAAAAGTTTGAAGGTGATGAAGGCAATCTGGGGAGTTACAGAATACACTGTATCACTTTCCTTCCTAAGTTAGTGCGTAACAAGGTACATGATAATGTTTTACGATACAAAATTAAAAAGATATTGATCTATCCACAGATATAGAATGTTCTAAAGCTCTTCTGAGATAATGTAAAATATGCACTTTTGAGTAATCAACTATCTTTCTGCTATTGACATGAACTTCACATGCAATACTTTCAAGCATTTTTACAATCAAGAAACTTTATTATTAAACTCTTAAAATACTTCCTGCATAAAAGCAGTAAATACATTCCATTAACTATAAATAAATCTAACCATTCTTTAAAAGCAAGACTCATTTTTACCTGCAAATGTAAAGAAGATTTCATTCTGTAGACCTCCTCTCTGCATTTTTACATGATGGCATTCTGCCTTAATTAATGTAACCACACAAGAAAGTTCAGCAACAAGTTTGTTAAGTATCAAAACCAATGTTCTCTCAAAATAAGTATTATGAGTGCTGTGGCAAGGAGCTGCATGGTACCGGGCTGTGAATTCATAGTACTGTTTAGGATCAGAATAAGCTGCAGGAAAAAAATGTAGATGATGATGAGGAACATACATGAAGTAAAAATAAGAAAAGTAATTTGTGTATTTGAAAATAAAAGTGCCAATTTAAATCCTTCATTATAAACAAAACTTATTTTGCACCCCCAGTGAATTTTTAATGATAAAATAGTGTATGCTGGGCCAGTTGGAAACACTTCAGAGACTTTTATAAGTCAACATTATTATTTATATTCATAGGTAAGTCTTACTCTTTAATATTCTAATTTTTTATTTTTTAAACCAACAGGAGATTACAGTAAAGGGATCAAGAATATGAAGGCTAAGGTTAAGAAGCATGCAAAATATCCTTGAGTATGTGGCACAGTATTTCATCTCACACATTATGGCCAGTTATATATAGCAGTATGTTACATACTTTTTAGTCAACTATCACAAAAGTATTTTAAAGGGCTTAAAAATGGAATCCTCTTCCCCAGAGATCAATAGAAGATGGAACTAATAAGATGAACAGGATTTCCTTCTCTCTTAGAAGTAACTGAAAAAGCTTTCATGTAAGTATGAAATTTACTTTTATGGATCGATCAACTATTTCACCTTTACTGCAAAGCTAAATGCACACCTGGGCACCTTTTACAAATAAGCAAATATACTATAAAATGTGTGTTTTCAGTTATTTCATGATAACCACTCTACTTATCCAAATATGAAGATCAACAGAGCACAATGTTAAATAGAAAACAGAAGTAAAAGAACAAAGAACAGGGGTCATGTCACAGAAATGAGAAGGGGGCTGTGGGGAAGAAAGAACAAAGGAGTAGATCTGAACCCGCTGAAAGAAGCAGCAGAACATCCAAAATATGGTACTCAATTAAGACAGCTCATTAGATCCTGAATCTTGCTTTCACCTCCCCCGTTTCCTTTCGCTTGCTGCTGCATATTCAAGATTTTTTTGTACATATGCATAAAGCTTGCATTTTGTATGCTAACATTCCGATTGAATCCTTACTGAAGGATGTAAGCTTGCATTACTGAAAACTGTAACCTCTTCCATCAGAACTGTTTCAAATAAACTTTTTCCTTTCCAGTTCTGTCAAGAAAGCCAGCTGCTAAAAGTCATGGTTATTGTGTATGAAGGATACTGTGCCAAAGTAAAATTAATTTACATCAGAGGTTAATTTAGGTTATTGTGCTCTACAGTGTTTCTGAACGAGCTCTGGTACATTTTAAATGGAAGATCAAACAAAAAGTTCCTGCTAAAGGCAACAGAAGCTCTTGCCTGCATCTGCACAAGAATAAAATATCCCTTAAATAAGAAAAGGAGAGCTAGTAATGAATAAATGGCAATGCCTTTACAATCTTGCACTTTATCAAAGAC